TGTCAAGTATGGTCCCATTGTGGTTTTGATTGTATTTCCATTTTGCTAGACGGCTTGTGCACTGCCTGAGAGAAGACAGAAAAAGGGAAAGTGTGGAAACCCCCTGGGGGATGGCCCCACCTTGGTCCCTTCTCTTACATTTGACCTTTTGGGATTTTAGGCACGCATACACCTATATCCGCCCAGTGTGTTTTCAAGCCCAGGGTCCGGAACTGTAACCACGCATTCAGCCAGGAAGGATCCGGCTGCCTCGGCCACCATGCTAGCGTGGATAAAGAAGTCAAGTGTCACTTCTTGTGCTTCTTGGTTATTTGTGTATCATCTTTGCAGAAATGGCTATTCAGATTTTTTTTAGTTGGGTTGTTTAGCTTTTTCTTTTTTTTTAATTGATTATTTCTTCCACGCGCAAAGGAGAAAGCTAGGAAGGCAGCCCCGCCCCAAGGCTATCCCGTTGCCCTCTGCTCCCAGCCTCAGCCAGCCCCGTCACAGGTACACCGGTGCTGATGTGCTGAGGAGGTCCTGGACCAGGACCAGGACTGCCCACCGTGGACTGCCTCACAGAGCAGTGTGTTTTACCGCCAAGTTCTGGTCTGGGCTCTTGTTTGTTTGTTTGTTTGAATTTACCAGAGAACATGTGTACTCGCTGGGAACAAAGCGAGAAAGCACCCCACAGGGCATGGTCGCACCACAGCCCCTTCTCCATTTCCCTCTTTTTCAGGATTTGGGGCCTGCGCATAAATGCACCTGGCATGTTTCTCAAACTGCCAAGTTTGAGACTTGAACCACACAGCCAGCCCTACAGGATCTGGCAGCTTTAACCACTAGGCCACAGGCCGGCCCCTTACTTATCTCTTTATCACTAAATTGTAACCATTCTTCCTGTGCTCTGGATAGTAGACCCATGACATAGTTTCCTTTTTATTTGACAGTGCTCTCTGGTGTATGAAGGTCTTTATGTTTGGTGAAGTCAGTGTACTTGTGTTTTGATGAGCTGGCCCTCATCATGGAAGCCGAATCCTCCCAGGTCACTACTCTCTTCAGTGCTGTTTCAGCTATTCAGGACCCTTTGCAATTTATGAATTTGGAAACAGGCCTTCAGGATTTTGGTAGGGATTGTATTAAATCTTAAGTTAATTATCTTTTAAAGAGATTTAAATAATGAGAAAAACAAGCCTTTCATATTTACTCAGAGTGTTACTCCCCGTTTCTGGTGCTTTTCTTTCTTCCTTGTAGGGCTGTTTCGGCCTGCCCTGCCATGGTTTTCTGCCTGGAGGGCTTTATTTAGTGTATCTTACATCTTTGTCTCTAATGTATTTTCTGTCGATAAATTGTTTAGTTTTCCTGTTGTCTGAGGTCTTCATTTCACCTTTGCTTGTGATTAGCCTTCCCTTTGTGTAGTCTTCTAGTTAACAGGTGGGTTTTTTTCTGGGTTTTGTTTTGCTATAACGTGCTCTCTGGAGACAGAATGTGAGACATCACCCCTGGAGGGGATGGCCATGCTGCAGTCCCTTCTCCGGTCTCCTCTCAGGGTTTTGGGCACACACACGCACATACCCCAGTGTGTGTTCAAGCTGCCGGGTCCAGGACAGTCAACCATGTGGGATCCAGCCCTTTAACCACCATCGGCCCCGTTTAGTTTTCTAGGATGTTGCTGCCGCTCCGCCTCACTTGTCAGAAATCTGCTGTCCTTGGGAACCAGCAGTTAGCGTAATGGCTATGTCGCTGGATTCCCACGTAGTCGACCGCGGTTCGCGTCCCGGACCCGGTGGCTTAAAACTCACGCCGGGCACGTGTGCGTGCGTGCCCAAGATCCCGAGAGGAGAATGGAGGAGAAGGGATTGCGGCGTGACCGTCCCCCCTGGGGGGTGATTTCTTGCTTTCTATCTCTATGTCTCTCTCTGTCTGTCTGGCGAGCGCACGCACCCTATAGCGAAAACCTCTAAAAAAAAAAAAAGAAAAAAAGAAATCTGCTGTCCTTTCATCTCCACTCCATTAGCAGTCGTATGTCCTGCGGCCAGCAGGTGGCATGGTGGTTAAGGTGCTTGACTCCCACAGGGCCGCCCAGGGTTCGATTGGACCTGGCCGCTTGCTTTGCTCCTTTCCCTCTCTGAGTCTCTTCCTGGTAGGTACACACGGCCTCTGTAGCAAGTTTTTAAAATAAAATAAAATAAAATAAGTAATTCATTTTAAAAATAATCATAAAAGGCTAGGTCCTGTTTCCTCTGACTGGTTTTGATATTTTAGCTGCGTTGCTGGTTTTAAACAATTTTAAATGCCTTGGTGTCACGTCTTCATATTTTGTGTATTTGGGACCGATGATCTCTCATACTTCTTCTGGGTTTATGTTTTTTATCAAATTTGGAATTTTTTTTTTTGAGAGGTTTTTTTGCTATAGGGCGCATGCGCTCGCCAGACAGACAGAGAGAGACAGAAAGCAAGAAATCACCCCCCAGGGGGGATGGTCACGCTGCAATCCCTTCTCTTCCATTCTCCTCTTGGGATCTTGGGCACACATGCACACGCGCCCAGCATGAGTTCTAAGCCACCGGGTCCGGGATGGGAACTGCGGTCGACTACGTGGGAATCCAGCGACATAGCCATTATGCTAACTGCTGGTTCCCTCAAATTTGGAAATTTTTGAGCTGTTATTTCTTCAAATATTTTTTTCTGTCTTCCTCTCTTTTGGTGACTGCATCTACCTAGACGTTCGACTCCTTGAGCTAGCCTGCGCTCTGTTCTTAGCCCTCTCTGGGTGTGGGGTTGGCGGTGCGCAGTGTCCCCAGCCGGTGGTCTGTCTTCTGCCCTGTGCGTGTGGCCGTGCCATCCACATTCTTTTTCCTCCACAAGTTTGGTTTGGGCCTTTCTGCATTCTCTGGCCGCTGCTTGCTGGCTCATTCCTCTTTCTGCTCCCGGACCTGTGGGCCTGGATTCCCAGGCCTGCAGCCCCAGCCCCACCTCCCTGCCACGCTGTGTCTTCCCCTTGTCCCTGCTCAGTGACAAGCGGTCGGGGAGGGGCTATGACTCTGACTGGCGGGAGCCAGGAGTCACGCTCCTTGCTCTGGGACGGAGTTAAGTGATGTGAAGATGGCTTTGGGGTTTGTCGTTCCGCTTTGCTCTGCAGCACCCGAGCAATGTGCGATCTGCCAGTTGGATGGTCCCTACTCGGGAGTGCCCCCTGTCCCGTAGGCCAGGAGGCTCCTCTGCAGGAACAGGCCCGTGCGGATGGTGGGGACTGCTCCCTCTGGGGGTCCTTTCCTGGCCTCGGTGGCTGCCCCTGCCCTGGCCAGTGAATGCTCCATCCTACTCCAGCTGGCCTGCCCACCTTCTTCCGGCTCTCCACCAGGGCCTACAGCCTTGTCCCCTTTCTGCCCAGGGGGCTGTCATGGCACTTGCTCCCCTAGTGCTGTGAAAACTGCTTCCTGTGTGCTCATCGGAGTCGTATGTTGTGCTCCTACACGGGGGCTCGGCCCAGCGCCCGTGGCTCTCTCGTTTGGGTTGGAGGTGGGTGTCTCCGTCTCAGTGTTTGAAAAACCTCCCAGGAGTGCTCGTGCGCCCCAGGCTAGGGCTTGGGTGGAGGCAACGATTCAGGGCCAGCCGGCCAGCCTGGGCTTGAACAGTGTGACGGCACATAGCTATTCTCCAGAGCGCCCCAAGATGGTGCCCAGCCCGCGGCCAGGTCCTGCCTGCGTCAGGGGCTGGCTGGTATTGGCTGGTCTGGCCCAGACCAGGTTGGCGTCCCATTGTGGGCCTGGAGTGGCCAGCCAGGACGGTCAGGGGCTTGTGGATGGAGCAGTTGGTGATTTCGTCCTTCCCTGGGACCAGGATAAAGGGGAAGAGAATCGAAATTCCAGTGAGCTGATTCTCTTTGAAAAGGAGTCGGTGGGCCATGCCTGGTGGCCAGCGCACGATTCCGGTCCTAGTCCTGGTGGTGTGCATGCCCAGTACCCTAGAGGAAGGAGACCTGGAGGAGGAGGGACTGCAGCGTGACCACACCCATGGGGGCGTCTCTGTCTCCCTCTCCCTCCCCACCGCTCTGCCTCTCCATCTCTTTCCAGCGAGTACATGTGTCCTCTGGTAACATTTTAAAAAATAAAATAAGGGAAACCAGAACTCGGTCCTTGGACCGAGTCCCTAGGCTAAGCGAGTGAACGCTTCCCTTCCTGAAGGGAAAGGAAAACCGCCCCTTTCCCGCTCCCCGCAACCCCTCTTGCTCCTGTCCCCTTGTAGCCAGGAGCCTGGAAGAGCGCCCCCAGCGCTGTGGTTGGACGGTCCATGTGGCTGCTGGGGTGGCGGCCACACGCTGTGGCCTGGCACCCTCACCCTGTGGGCGCCCTGTCTGCCGTGCTGGCTGTGCGGGGCTGGCGGGAGGGGAGAAGGGGAGGCGCCTGCTGCGTGCCTGGCCTCTCTCTCTGGCACACGGTGTGAAGCCTGAGCTGGGCCCGTGGGGCCTCGTCCCTGCCCTGGGACACAGCAGTGGTCACCTTCGCCCAGTGCTGGCACACCCACTGGTGGCCTTGCGTGTTGGCCTCTCAGATTCTTACAGTCAGCCCTGCCAAGGTTGTCCCTGGATGAGCGGAGGGTGGCTCACACTCAGCAGCAGGTCACAGATGCCCTCTGCGCCTATGTGGGGACCGGCAACCGCCCTGGTGGCCTCCCCATCTGGAGCAGGGAGAAAGTGGGGCAGTGTGGACAGCTCCAGAGCATGTCTCCAGCTGTGTGGCCCGGCTCAGGGTGCCTCAGGCTGGTCCTTGGGCCTTCTATGTGGGCCCTCAGGAAGAGGGCCTGGGCCACCTGGCACCCTGCCTGGCCCTCCGTCCTCCACTCTCCCTGCTCCAGAGGAGACGCCAGGCTTGTCCTGCCAGGTGGTGGTGCCAGCCTCCCATGCGCTCAGTGCCTCAGAGGTGCGTGCGGCCCGGCCCTGGCCAGGTGGAGCCCCGGCCGCTGTCGCTGCGCACAGGTGTGCTCGTCAGGGTCTCACGAGCCTCTCCTCCCTCGCGCAGGCCTTTGGACAGGCACACACAAACCACAAGAAGGTGGCGGCAGACGGCGAGAGCCGCGAGGAAAGCCTGATCCAGGAGTCGGCCTCCAAGGAGCAGTACTACGTGCACAAGGTGCTGGAGCTGCAGGCCGAGCTGAAGCAGCTGCGCAACGTGCTGGCCAACACCCGCTCAGAGAGCGAGCGCCTGGCCTCGGTGGCCCAGGAGCTGAAGGAGGTGAGGGCGCCGCGCCGTGCCACGCTGGGGGCTTGCTCCGCGCCATGCTGGGGCTCCAGGACAGCGCGCCTGGGCTCTGCCCTGCCCGGTGGCTGCTGTCTCACTGGTGAGGCGATCCCAGGAGCACCTGGAGCAGGGTGGCTGTGGCTGGTTTCTCGGGGGGCACGTGCCTGGTCACCGGAGTCCTAGTTGCCCCGAAATGTTTTGTCTTCCTCGCCTGCTCCGTGCCTAGCTGAGGATGAGAAGGCAGGCCCGAATGTACCATGAGGGCTGGCAGTGTGCATGTATCTGAGTCACAGGCCGGGGCCACCATCAGCCATCCCTACTTGGGCCTCAGGTGCACAGGAGGGCCCCAGGCTGAGGCTGGAGGCACCGGGTGGGTAGGCGGAATTTGCACCTGAGGTGGCCCAAGTCCCGGGCCCCTGCAGTAGTTGGATTGCAGGGACCAGCTGCTTGCTTCCAGCCCCGATACCAGAACCCTGAGTCACAGAGTGGGGAGTCCAGGGAATGGTGTGGCCAGGATGTGAGGTCACTCTGAGGCAGGCAGTAGCTGGAGAGGACCTGAAGCATCTGCCCCCTCAGGCAGGTGAGAGGTGCAGGGGAGAGCGGCGGGGCCTGGGGTCCCTTCTCCGCTGAGGCACGCCTGTTTACTTGGGCCCTGCTGGGACCTCGGCTTATGCTCTTCCTGGGGTATCACTGTGAGCAAAGCCTGGGAACCAGCAGTTAGCGTAATGGCTATGTCGCTGGACTCCCACGTAGTCGACCGTGGTTCGCATCCCGGACCTGGTGGCTTAAAACTCACGCCGGGCGCATGTGCGTGCGTGCCCAAGATCCCGAGCGGAGAATGGAGGAGAAGAGATTGCGGCGTGACCATCCCGTCTGGGGGGTGATTTCTCGCAGATGTCTCTATCTGTCTGTCTGGCAAGCGCACGTGCCCTATAGCGAAAACTTCTCAAAAAATAAATAAAGCCCCCTGGGGAGGCTGTGGTGGGCATGGGGGCGAGCCTGAGGGAGACCCGTGCCCTTGGCTATGTCCCTGGGGTGGGAGCGAGTGTCCAAGTGGGTCTAGCCAGGGTGGGGAAGGGTGTCGACGGAGAGTCCTGCAGGCCCACAACGGCCCTGACGGAGGCACGGTTCAGTCCGGGTTTGGGCCCTTGGTGGAGAGTGGGGCATGGGGTCAAAGGTGAGCCAAGAGCCAGGGAGAAGGCCCAGTTGGGCTGACGGGGCCAAGGGAGGCAGTGCCCTTTTGAGGAAGTGTGGGGCCCGTCACCAGCTTGGTGGGACGGCCACCTGGGGTCGCAGGCCGGGTGGAAATTCCCGTGAGAGCTGAAGTGGCCATCTGCCCTGCTGTCATGGCCTTGGCCTTGCGGCCCAGGCCCAGGTTCTCCTCAGCCAGGGCCAGAGGGAGGGAGGAGCTGAGGCTGGCCTTGTCTTTCCCTGAGCCTCAGGGCTTGGGCCAGGTCTTGTCATCAGTCCTGGCCTCGGTTTTCCCCTCGGCTGGGAACACCCTAGGGCTCCTTCACCCCATGTCGTCCAAGGGCCTGCAGATGGTCCACACGCCAGGCTCGAAGGACATTGAGGCCTGGGGGCTTGGGGAGGGGGTGGTTTGGGCTGGGTGCGCCTCAGGTCCCAGAGCAGTAGCAGTGACCTCATTTCCCCCTGCAAGGAACTCTGGGTGGGAGAAGGGTCCTCCCGAGGAACTGTGGTCTCCATGTGCCGGCCACATCTGTCCCTCCAGCTCCCCTTTTGCAGAGAAGCCAGTGCGATGCTTTCTCTTTGGCCTGGCACAGAGGCCCTGACTCTTCAGAGGAGGCCAGGATGGGGCTGGTGACCCCAAGGACAGGCCAGGAGCACGAAGTGGACTCAGGCTGTAAAGATGCCGCAGGCCTCAGTGGAGGGAGGGGCGTCCCTGCTATTCCTGTTTGTCTTCAGGAGGAAATTCAGGCTCTCTGTTCCCCACAGCCGCCTGCTCCGGAGGGTTCCCCAGACTTGCCCGCACAGGCCTTCTTCCCCGCTCCTGGGCCCTCCCCTGCAGGCTGCTGGGAGCTAGGAACCTTCCTGGGCTCCACTGCCTGTATGTGTACTCGGTTGGAGGGAGGCCCTGCCACCTGTCTGGGACTGTCCATGTCAGCCCCACTGTCCGGCCCTGACCCCACCGCCTGTTCTTCGGCCACCGTGGCCCGGTCTGGGCAGAGGTGCTGTACCCCATGGCTTGGGGCTGCCCTGCCTGACCATGTGTCAGGCCACGCCGTGCCCACCTCCCCTCTGGAAAGCCTGACTTAGCCACCAGTCCCTCCCATGCCAGGGCACCAGCAGGCCCCGAGCCACTTCTGTGGGGCAGTTCTGAGCACCTCGGATCTGGCCCTCTTGGTGACCCGACTGGTGCTCTGTCACCGCCACCAGGTTTGAAAGTTCCCATCATGTGCCCAAGGCCACCCAGTTGCTCTGGGGTTCTGACCTCCGTGTGTAGGACGCACAGGTAAGTGGGCTCGGCCTACACCTGCCTGGCTGGTATTCTTTCTTGGGCTTCCCAGCCCCTGGCAGGAGGGAGAGCTGAAGCTGTCCGGAACAGGGCCTTGGTGTAGGGACGAAGCCTGTCTTCCAGATGGAGAGAGAGGCCCAGGAGCCGGAGGGGGCTGGGCACCGCTGGGTCCTGGGCACACCCGGGGCCTTTCCTCAGATTGGCCCCAGGAAGGAGGAGGGAGGGCTGCCAGCCTGCACACTTCCCCTTCGAGGTGGCTCCTGTCACCTTCTTGCCGAAGAGCAGCCTACAGGGGATCGTGAGGACGGACCCACAGCCTCTTCTCCATGCCAAGAGCCCATCTCCATCTGGGCTGCGTGGCCCACGCCAAGCTTGTCCTGCTCCGTGTCGGGCAGGTGTCACAGCCTCAGGGGAAGGCGCTTACCTCAGGGAAAAGCAGACCCACCGTGACCAGTCACAGCCTGTTTGGGTGTTGCCGGCCGGGGTGCCAGGCAGCTGCCAGCCCAGTCTCGCTGCCCATGCCTGGCAGGGTGGGTGGAGGCACAGCCGCCATGGGAGTGACGGTGCCCCGTGGGGTATCTGGGGTCTGCAGTGTCGACAGCCATGGTCCCTCCCGTTGCGGGGAACTGCTGGGCCAGCCCCTGACCAAGGCTGCCTCTGTGCTCACCCCTGGCTGTGGCCGACTGTGCTTGCCGACTGGCAGCTCAGTTGCAGTGACGCCCTGGGATCCGGGCCTGGCCAGGGCCGGGTTGGCAGATCCTAGGACTCCACACACGGGTCTGCAGGGAGCCGTCTCGTGTGTGCCTGTGGGACTCTGGTGCTGTCAAGTCCGGGCAGGTTGCTGTCCCTGTGCAAGCCTCTGGCACTGCCTCTCCCACTGCCTGGAGAGCCTTCCGGGACTGTCAGTCCTGACGCGCAGAGTATGGGCAGGTCGCTGTCCCTGTGCAAACCTCCAGGGACTGTCAGTCTTGAGCCGCAGAGTCTGGGTGCCCAGTCCTACTGGGAGCCCGTGGGGGTGTGCCAGGACTGGGCGTGAGGCGCCCTCACGGTGCCCGAGGCACATGTCCAGTCCTGCTCACTTCCCTCTCTCCCCTGGTGCGGGCTTCGCCAGCGTGGCCTTCCTTCCCCACATGGTGTCTGCTTCTTGGCGTCAGCCCTGTCCCCTCTGGGCCACTTACCAAGAGAGCAGTCTGGGTTCCTTGACAGAGGTTTCACTCCAGTCTCTGCTCTAAGCAGGAGCCTTTTGTTGGTCCCCTTTCCGTGGCTCTCCTTGTCTCTGGGTCCTGTTTCGTGGACTCGCTGTGGAGCCGTGGGATTCTGTGAAGCCTGTGCACACAGACGAGCCCTGCACAGGGGCAATGCGTGGGTGGTGTGAGCCCGGGCTGTGTGGGAGGCCAGCCCATCACCACCACCGTGTAGACAGCACTGGAGCTGGGAGGGAGCAGAGTGCCCGCAGGCACTGGGTGGCCTGGAGCTGCTTCAGTTATCACAGAGGGGAGAGGCTGTGTTTGAAGCAGAGGGCGGAGCTACTAAACCCAGCCACGTACAGGACAGTCCCCACCACAGAGACAGCCCTGCCCTCGCTGTCACTAGGGCCACGGCTGAGGGACTCAGATCCTGGCTCCTGGCCGCGGCCGCAGGCCAAGCACTCGGGGGTACTGGCTGCGCGGTGCTCTCCAGTCCTGCCGTAGCCTCGCCCGAGAGCAGCCCTGACGCCTCACAGGCCGCCCGCAGGTAGCTAGTGGGTCTTCTTTTTCAGTTTTCATTATAGGACACATGCCCTCACCAGAGAGCGACAGGGAAGGTGAGAAATCACCCCCAGCGGGAGTACCTACACCACAGTCCCTTCTGCATTCTGTTGTGATTTGGGGCACACGTGCATACACACCCAGCGTGATTTTCAAGCCACCAGGCCCAGGACTCAAACTGCGGAGTTGGCTATGTTACCTCCATGCCACCTGCTGGCCCCAGTAGCAACTGATTTTTCTCTTTCTTTTTTTTTATTTTTTGCCATTGGGCACGTGCGCTGTCCGTGGAGAGAGGAGGAGAGAGTGACAGGGAAAGTGGGAAATTGCCCCTCGCCCAGGCGGGGAATGGCCGTACTGCAAGTCCTCCATTCTCCTGAGATTTGGGACACACACACACACACACACACACACACACAGGCCAAGCATGATTTTTAACCACCAGGTCTGGGACTCAAACATGATCGGCCACGTGGGAATTCAGCACCTTAACCGCTACACCACGGTTTTTTAGATTTTGCTTTTGGGGTTTCGTGTGTGTGTGTGTGTGTGTGTGTGTGTGTGTGTGTTTGAGATTTTTGCTATAGGATACTTGTGTTTGTGAGAGAGACAGACAGAGAAAGTGAGAAATTACTCCCTGGGGGGATGGCCACACTGCAGTTTCTTCTCCATTCTTCTCTCATGATTGTGGCATGCACGCACAGGTGCCTGGCAAAATTTTCAAGCTGCCAAGTTCAGGACTCGAACTACAGTCAGCCATGTGGGAGTCCAGCACCTTAACCACCCTGCCATCTGCTGGCCCCAGTCACATCTGGTTTTTAGCAGCTGTGTTCAGATAGTTCGCATCCCGTGTTGTTCATCCACCAGAAATACACAGCTCACGGTTTTAGTCTGCTCACACATGCATGGTGTCCTACAGTGAATTTCAGTTTCCTCACTCCATAAAGAAACGCCGTTCGAGGTGCTCCAACCCCTCCTGGCAGCTGCCGGTCTGTTACAGACGTGCCTGGTCTCCCGTGACTGGCTCTTTCTCTTGGACTGTCTTCACGGCTCGTTCATGTAGTAGCTGTGCCCTCAGTCACTCCCCATTGTGACTGAATAGCTCTTCTTTGTGTGGACAGACCACGTTTTGCTCACCTGTTCATGTGTGGTGGGATTCAGGTGGTTTCCATGTGGACCTGTGCTCACGTCTCTGGGACAGCACTCGGTCACTCTCGCAGCACTGGTGGGCTTAGCCACAGTGCAGCACCGGCTGCACATCCGCCAGCAGGGCAGAAGTGAGCCGCTACTTTTAACCCCATTTTACAGGTGTCAAAACAGAGTCAGAGAAAGCTGTCACTTGCTGGGGATTCCACAGCGAGGACTGAGGGCATCTGACACAGGACCTTTGCTGCTCTGGTTCCCTGAGGTGTGGCTGTGTGGCTGCCATGGTGGCAGGGCTGGTGGGGCCAGCTGCAGAGGCTCTTATGCCACCTGTGTCACTCCTGCAGATCAACCAGAACGTGGAGCTCCAGCGAGGCCGCCTGCGGGATGACATCAAGGAGTACAAGTTCCGGGAGGCCCGCCTGCTGCAGGACTACTCGGAGCTGGAGGAGGAGAACATCAGCCTGCAGAAGCAAGTGTCCGTGCTCAGGCAGAACCAGGCAGGTCTTGGGCCCCCCTGCCCTGGGCCTCCCACAGCGTGTGGGGCAGAGCCCGGTGTCCCTACCCGAGACCCAGAGACCTGCTCATTAGCTTTATGCAGAATGTCACAGAATAAGAAATGTGTTTTTTTTTAATTGTCTACAAAAGCATAACCCCTTCCCACACACATACATCAAGCGTCAGCTTCGTCTGCTTTTCTGTCTCCCTGCAAGTACGATCTCACGGGGGAGACTGCTTTCCCGCCGGCTCAGCTCCAGCCTCCAGGCTCCAGGCTCCTCTGCATCTGGAGCCCTGCGTGTGCCAGGTTTGGTGCTGAGACCATCTACCTGCAGCGAGACCACAGCCGCTTCGTTTTTAAGTAGGATGAGAAATCACAGTTGTAGCTCCCATCCCTACACATACTTTTTTTTTAAGGATACGCGCGCAATGGAGAGACGGAGACAGAAAGCAAGAAATAACCCGAGAGGGGATGACCACACTGTAATCCCTTCTCCTCCATTCTCCTCTCAGGGTCTTCGCCATGCACACACACATCCCCAGTGTGAGTTTGAAGCCCCTGGGTCCGGGACTCGAACTGCGGTTGGCTGTGAGAGTCCAGCAACATAACCAGCTCCAACTGCTGGTCCCACAACATGTACTTTTTACACCTGTTGGTGTTCATTTAGCTGCTAAATAGGGAATTTCGTAGGCTTGTGGGTCTGGAAGCATGATGTTTTTAAGAATTCAGTGGAGGTCGGCAGCGTGTGTGTGCTGTCCAGGTAGATTTCCACCCTGAGCCCCAGCTAGGCCACTTACCGCCTTCTGCTGCCCTTCACGGGCACGTTTGTCCCCACGGCTGAGCAGTCCTGTGTTCACATTTCCCTCTCCCCCAGGTGGGGGCAGTCGCCTCGCCAGACCAGCTGCCACCATTCTGCAGGACGGCTCTTGGTGGCGGGGAACTGGCATGCTGGTATGTCACCCTCGCCTGCGTGTATCTGTCCTCTCTTCTCAGGTGGAGTTTGAGGGCCTCAAGCATGAGATCAAGCGCCTGGAGGAGGAGGCCGAGTACCTCAACAGCCAGCTGGAGGACGCCATCCGGCTCAAGGAGATCTCGGAGCGGCAGCTGGAGGAGGCACTGGAGACACTGAAGACGGAGCGGGAGCAGAAGAACAGCCTGCGCAAGGAGCTGTCGCACTACATGAGCATCAACGACTCCTTCTACACCAGCCACCTGCACGTCTCCCTCGATGGCCTCAAGTTCAGTGATGATGCCGCTGCAGAGCCCAACAATGATGCCGAGGCCCTGGCCAACGGCTTCGAGCACAGCAGCCTGGCCAAGCTGCCGCCGGACAACAAGACCTCCACGCCCAGGAAGGACGGCCTCACGCCGCCCCCACCCAGCCTGGTCTCCGACCTGCTCAGCGAGCTCAACATCTCCGAGATCCAGAAGCTGAAGCAGCAGCTGATGCAGGTGAGCAGGCTCAGGGTGCTGGGTCTCCTCATAGCGCCGGGCCAGGGCCCGCATGGGTCAACCCCACACCCACTTGTCCTGGCACGGCCCAGGCCACATCTGCACAGCCTCCCCGAGCCGCGCTTCCCCAACACCTTGTTGGTGTTCATTACTTCCCTTTACCTGAGTCCGTTTTCCATCCCGCGTCATCCCTGTTTCGACACTCAAGTGGTACAGGAAGAGTCCCAGAGAAGAGCTGGTTGCTGCGTGCAGCTGGCACTGTAGTGCCCACACTGCTCCCGTTACCCACACTGCATCAGGGTGAAGTGACGAGGTGCCGGCCTCTCGTTTTCACAGACCAGGACCAGAGGGACTGACCTTCCGGGGGTAGTTACTGATGTAGGTGATTGCATCCCTCCCCCAGGGCCGCGCCCTCGAGTGGAGAGCAGGGCAGCAGGGTCCCAGCACCCTACCCGACCGACCTGGAGCTTTGCCTCCTGGCAGCTGGCCTCTAGCCAGGGTGGGGATGCCCCTGGCTGGCCTGGATGGGTGCTCCCAGACTTGGAGCCTGCAGGCCGCTGACATGCCTTCCTGCTTTCCTGTGCCTTTACAGATGGAGCGGGAGAAGGTGGGACTGCTGGCAACACTGCAGGATACGCAGAAGCAGCTGGAGCAGGCGCGGGGGACCCTGTCGGAGCAGCATGAGCAAGTGAGCCGCCTCTCGGAGACCCTGAGTGCACTGCGCCGCCTACAGGCCGGCAAGGAGCGCCAGACGGCCCTGGACAATGAGAAGGACCGCGACAGCCACGAGGACGGAGACTACTACGAGGTGGACATCAACGGGCCCGAGATCCTGGCCTGCAAGTACCACGTGGCAGTGGCCGAGGCTGGCGAGCTCCGGGAGCAGCTCAAAGCCCTGCGCAGCACACACGAGGCCCAGGAGGCCCAGCGTGCCGAGGAGAAGGGCCGCTATGAGGCCGAGAGCCAAGCGCTCAGTGAGA